TTTTTTCCAGCTCTTGATTGAAGAGAGGAGTGTGCAAATGCTGACTTAAAATGATAGAGGCAGGCTAAGGGGGGAGGTTGAGACAAGAGTTGACTTCAAGGGGACCCCTCACCTCTTATCATCATAGATTGAGCCAAATTACACCCCAATCACTCCTCATACTCATCCATACGAACCAAGACATAATCTGGGAGGAAAGAAGGTCTGCAAACTCCATCCTTACCATCCTCACACGCACCAAGAACAAGGGGAAGAAGAAGAAAGGAAAAAGAGAAGAGAAAAGAAAAGTTTAGGTGGGAAAACTTGTGGTTAATAAGGTAATGATTTCATTAACCCCATTTCTTCACTTTAACCATATTTCAAACTCCTAGTATAGTTCTACACGTGTAAAAGTGTAGAAGGGGAGTTGGAGGGTTGGTTTATACCCAAAATGAACTTTGAGAGCAAAGTTGACGGGTTGCCGGAAAATAACCTTTTAGAAGTTATTTATGTTGATATGGGTTTTATGATGATAAAACCTTGTTATTAACTTGTATAAGGTATTTCAAGAACTTTCGCGGAGTTGAAAGGGTCACCGGGGTTCGTTGAAGTTCACCGGAGCTTCACCGGGGCTAAATCGGAAAGGCTAGAACTTCATAAGCTTCAATAAGGTGAGAAGACGGCTATATGCTTTATAACTATTGAGTGAGGCATGAGATTACCTAAAGTAATCAAAAATATGTTTTATGGAATGATTAAAGATAATCAAGTATTTGCTTATGCCATGTTTAACCATAAAACATAGTTGAAAAGCATGTTGTGTATGTTTGATGATTTAAAATGTGATAACTTATTATGTACGATATTCCAGGGATCCAAAATGGTATTTTTGGATCAAGGATGACAAGAAGTACATGTGTATAAAATTTCAGGCTAATCGGACTTCGTTTGGGCGGTCAAACGGGCGTTGACCGCCGAGACAAGGGTGATACCCGACCGGGTATGGGCAAATACCCGACCGGGTATTGATAAAAAATGGCTCCAGAAGCCACTGCCACACTAGACCCGACCGGGTATGGGCATGGACCCGACCGGGTCTCAAGTAAAGTTGGCTCCAGAGGCTACTGCCCTGCCCTACCCGACCGGGTAAGGTTGGATACCCGACCGGGTATTGGGTTATACTCAAAACAGGCAGTTTTGAGCAGTTTAACGTGGGCCGTTCAAGTGGGAAACGCCCACGTTGGTTACTAGGGATTATTATATGACTATAGGACTAGGTATTGTCCATAGTTAAGTGAATACAAGGTTAGCCATATCCAGGTTAGGGTTGGTGAGGATTAAGGTTGAGGTTGAGTATCCTCAGGACGGTAAATGATCCTAAAACTCGGTTGAGGTTGAGTATCCTCAGGACGGTAAACAATCCTAAAACTCGGTTGAGGTTGAGTATCCTCAGGACGGTAAACAATCCTAAAACTCGGTTGAGGTTGAGTATCTTCAGGACGGTAAATGATCCTAAAACTCGGTTGAGGTTGAGTATCCTCAGGACGGTAAATGATCCTAAAACTCGGTTGGGGTTGAGCATCCCCGGGAGGGTAAACACTCCTGAAACTGGTAGGATATCGTGAAGGTAGAATGTAGCTTGTGAGCTAGGTATTCGGGAATGAATGGGAAAGGTTGGGTAATTACCTTATCCCTAAAAGACTCTTTTAAATGGAAATGACCTACGGGTCAAGTATTTACAAGTATATACAGTAAGTATCATCTTGTGAGTGGGGTAACAATGGTTACACTTATACTTATATTTATCACCCTATTTTTTTGGGTCTCGTGTCTGAAACATTAGTTATTCTTCATATAGCCTGCTTGTCACTAGTACTTCTATGGAGTACTGACCCCTTCGGGGGGCCTCACATTTTTTCAGGTTAAGGCTAGAGTCCTACTACCTGCACCTTTGCCTAGGGTGATTGATCGAGGAGGAAGACGTGGTTCGTGCTACCATTCTTCTTCAAAACTGATAAACTGCTCATGGATATTTTTAACAATGTTTTCTATTAAAACATTTGGGGGCCTGCGTGCCCGTATTTGCCACGTGTGGCTAAGTATCAAACATATCTTATTTTCTGCATTTGTTTGACTAATATATATTGATGTTGATTGTATGAGTTTACTAATCGGTTTGGCAATAGAACTTAACGGACGCCTTGTATGATTTAATAAAGATGAACTACGTTGTTCTTATTGGGTTGTACGGCGGTTGTCTACGTGGCCCGGATGCGGTCCGGGGCGTGACACACAAAATGTTTTCAAACAATTTGACCCGCAAATCCCTCAAACGGGCTTGGCCAGACGACGATTTCTGTCAATCCAGACTGACCAGATCATTCCCCGTACCTATATAAAGCAAAATAGCAAAAATGGTCATTTGTAAAATTAAAGTGCTAATTCACAACTGCATACGACGCATTTTCATATGTTGAAATTGTTGTGCAACTTTTTCTTTGTTAACAATTTTAAATATACCTTTTTCAATAAAAGTAATTAAAGCATCATTCAAAACATCTTATATTCTATTGTGAAATTAGTTCTTCTGTGATTCCGCCTTCCTTCTTGCAGCGGTTTGGAGTTGGAATATTAGAGTAAGAGTTGTGCCGCCCAATCGTTTCTATTTTTAAAATGATGGTGTCAATTTTAAATTTTTGAAAGATTACATATACCTATATGTAAATTATTATTTTCAGTGGTGTCAATTTAAAGTTAAAAAAATCTCTATACATATGTATGGAAAAGAAAATTTTCAGTGGTGTCAATTTAAATTTTAAAAAAAATATCTATACCTATATATGGAAAAGAAAATTTTCAGTGGTGTCAATTGACACCACAACTCTGTAAGTGGCTCCGTAATAACTTATTGTGTCACTATGGCTAGAGTACGTATTTTACTATGTCTCTGTGTAACTGGAGGAATGTAAGTGTCATTGCGGGGTATAAATGTGATGTTAGTCACATTTCAAAATTGGTGTATTAGTTTGGGCACATTTTTTAAGAAAAAAAGTACGAGGGATAATGAATAATGCAAAAATAAAAGAGAAAGGGTAGAAGTATGAACTAAAAGAGTAAAACGAACTAATAAGGTAGTTGCGTATTTTAAAAAGAAAAATTATTAAAAGGGTAAAATTATAAATATAAAAATAAAATTAACACGTGATAATAATTACATAAAACCTTAAGTAATAAATATGTGATTAGGATTTTTTTTTATTTGAATGTAAATTGTACAATTTTTTATCGCTTTTTTTAAATCAAACAACAATTTATTCAAATCAAATAATTGCAAAGCAACAAGTAAATGAGCAGCCTAAGGCTACCATGGGATGATATTTTGAACGGAAAAGATCCCATGAATCCATTCAGACTGCTAACCCCGCAATAATGTAGTCTAGTCTAACAGCTTTGCTGCTACTTCAAATAAAAAATAAAAAATTACAAATAAAAAATTTGGCTTTACCAGCCACCGAAAAGGGAAAATTGATTTGATCAGCAACCAACAAAGGAAACTCTATCGAGCCAAAATTGTTTGGATCATCAGTTTGAATAGCCACCGAAAAGGAGATCCAGTTGAGCGCTTTCATTTTCTCAGAGTGAAGCAGTGGCTCAGGTGGAGGGCGAACAACCGAAGCCTTAGAACAACATAGTTGAAAAAGCTTTGTCAACCATGAACAACGAAAACTCATCAGATCGATTACTCCGATGAGAAATCCACAGATCGATAAGAGAAAAATCTGCCACACGCTGACATGAAGCGGACAAAACTCTCGACCAAAGAAGATGACAAACTTAAAAAACTCGTCAAAGAAGATGTCGGACCAAAACCCTTGAAAGTAAAAATTAAACAAGACTAAAAACATAGAAATTGAGCACCACCACCTTCTAAAACTCGTTGTGTTTGAAAAAGAGAATATTTGAAAGAAGATGGCCCTTTCCCTTTCCCCTAGGGCCCTTTCCTGAGATTATGCCATAATTATTGATGCAATCTTACATTTTCAAAAATCAATTATTTAACCATTGAGTTTTTATCATTTTCACTGTTTGCCCCCTTTCGTTAATATTTGTGGAATTAAATTTAATATAACTTTTAAATTTAATGAAAGTTGTCTATAAATTAAATTTTAAAGTAAAATAAAATTTAATATCATAGCAAGAAGTCATTGTTGTTGATCTTTATTTTTATATTTATCTACTCAATTATAGAATAAATATTAATGAATGAAGATAATAGAGAAGACTCACCAGTATGATATAACGTATCACAAATTTTTATCTTTTTTAATTTAAAAACATAAATATCATTTAATCTTATAAACTAATAAATTTTTTGCGAAGAAATAATCATAAAAAATTAGTAATAGAATTAATAAAAAACCAAAATTCCTTTATCCAACATTTTATCTTTTTGGTTCGTTATTAATACTAGACCAATATTTTGGGTCATGGATTCTTAAAATTCCTTTTTTCTTGGTATTTCTTCTTTGCTACACACGAAAGAAATGTCATTGAAATTAATTTAGCCGGATGAATTACAAATAAGACTTTTTTTATTCATGATGAAGATGTGTCTAGAATTTTGATCGCAATATTTCAAACAACTTTTTTTTATATATATCTCATGAATATTACTCAGCTCATGAGTCTTCTACATTAACTACTTTCATTAATAGAAGTATTTATTACACGATCGAGTAGCTAAGTACAAAAATAACGATCAAGAACAATGACTTATAATTATAATGATAAATTGAATTTTACTTTAAACTTTAATTTTATAAACAATTTTCATTGATTTAAAGATTCATATTAAATTTAATTTAAAAAATATTAACATCAAGAGACATACCATAAGCAAGATTAAAGATGATGAAGTAATTAATTGATTTTTGAAAATGTAAAGTTACATTAATAATTATCACATAACTAATTAAAACCCCAGTTCTAATAGCTATAGAGCTTGTTAGAAAAACTTTTACCCTGTCTTTTTTCCACGGTATACTCTATACTTCGACTGCGACTGCTGCACAAACCTCACCCTTAGTGCAGACGTGCAGTACTTTTTGTCGACCAAAAAAGAAAAGAGACTCCACTCCCGTTGCTCGATACCCTTTCTGAACTTCTTCTTACATTCCTGAGTTACAGTTTCTGGATTTCGATGTTGAAACCCTTAGAGGAGCACGATTACATCGGCTTATCAGAGGCTCCCTCAATGGAGCACTCGGAAAAGACTCGCATTTCATCAATTGGAAGTGAGAGCAGAGACAAAGATTTGAACTTGAAGGCTACTGAGCTTAGATTGGGCTTGCCCGGTTCTGAGTCCCCAGACAGGTCAACGGAGGGGGGTTTGAGGTGTTTGACTTCTGGTGCCAAAAGGGGGTTCTCAGACGCCGCACATGGTTGTTCTGGGAAGTGGGGGTTCTCTGGATCTGAGGTTGAAATGAAGAAAAGTGGCTTCAATGGCGGTGTTAAGATTCTTTGTCCTGAGAGCAGCAACCAGCAGACTCAAGTTGCTTCAGATGATGTCAAAGAAGAGAGGAAGTCTCTCATTGCTCCTGCTGCAAAGTAATTTTATGATTCTTCTTATATTCTGATGTTATGTTTCTTTGGTTCGATTATTCTCAAAAATTAAATTTTTATGATGCTTTTGACATAACCTCATATACACTATTGTGTTTGTCAATTTATCAGCTGTTGTTTTGGTCATTTATATGGTCTAACCTCTCTAAGTGATCTGTGGAACATGATAAAGTATTCATATTACCCCCACAGAAGCAAAAAACTATTTGGTAGGATATTAATTAGGAAAAAAATCCCCTTTGAAGACTTAGCAACTGATGAAGGAAATTTATGCTATTTCTGAAGTAAGTTTTTACTCTGTATTATTTATTTTTAAAATCTTATTTATCAAGAATCTCTTAATAGCTAAAACAGCCCTCACAAATTATATTACGACTCTTTCCTCACTTGATGTGTTAATTTACCTACCAAAACATCACTGGCTCTACCCAAAAGAGTTCATCATCATTGTCTACATCTTAATTTCATCTAATTCTAGTCGGTTGCATAGAAATTTGTTGTGTTAGTTAGTTGTACCACTTCCTTCTCACAACGATTTGCCATATTTAACTTTTTGTCAACAGAGAACATTTTGAATATTGCTTTCATATTATAAATTGTTTTGTATAAATATATATTATTGGTTAAAGTTTAATATCATTGACCAAAAAGTAAATATGGAAACCCAATCTTAGTGGTAGTGAGGTATTATAAACTATTAGAGTTAGTTAACACTAAACTCCCACAAAAAGGCACAGTGACCGTGTTTTACGGAGAATAATGAGATTGAAGTTGTATGCCTGTTCTTGTGATGTGAAACAGGTCCCAGGTGGTAGGGTGGCCCCCAATTCGATCTTTTCGAAAGAATTCATTGAATGCTAATCCTCCCAAGAAGGAAGAAAAAGAAGATTTCAACGGAAAGTCGGGATCAAGTCGTCTTTATGTCAAAGTCAGCATGGATGGTGCCCCTTACTTGAGGAAAGTTGACCTCAAGAATTTCAGAAGCTATAAGGATCTGTCTATGGCTCTGAAGAACATGTTTAGCTGCTGTACAGTTGGTAAGTGGTAACACGTTTTGTCAAAGTTAATTGTACTTGCTTTATATGGAGTGGTGTATAATTCAATATTACCACTGGTTAATGCAGAACATGTGCTTACCTTCGAGGACAAGGATGGCGATTGGATGCTCATTGGTGATCTCCCATGGGAGTAAGTTTTGAATTTTTATTATTTTTTGTTAAATGGCCCCAGACATATTCATATATTCTCATGTAGTAGTTTTATTGAAGTTTCCAAACTCATAACACTTCTGACCAACTGATCTTTAAGATAATAGTTTCCTCATTGGGTAGCAAGCTTTACTTCCTATCGAATTAAGTGACAAATCATATGCTTGGTGATTGCAGAATGTTTGTAGATGCCTGCAAACGCCTAAGGATAATGAAAAGTTCAGATACAATTGATCTTGGTAAGTTCTGATAGGGCCTGTGGGTATTTATGTTGCACCACCTGCGTTAAGTTCTACGAGTTTTCTGATCCTGTTCACTCTTATTCTTTCTAGAAGGATGTTATATTTTAGTCCTATATTTGGAAACATCCTTGAAGAGAGAAGCTTATAGAGAATTGGTGTTTGTACCCCCACGAATAGAAAAACAACGAAGTGCATATTCCAATTCAAAGAAAAAATAGGGCGTATTTTACAATATTTCGGGTTGCAAACTCATTATAGCTTATGAAGTGGCTGCAAATTCAATTTTGGGTTAAAAAGTCAGTTCAAACTTCCACCGAAAGAACATTAATTGTAATATCTTTGAAGCAGTTTTTTGGGATTCACTTCCATCCTGTTATTTCCCCCCTCTTGCAAATCTCCACCATTCATCCACGGGAAGGAGAAGAGTAGGAGTAAGCAAGAAATGAGTGATGGAAATATTTGCCACTTTTTTCATGATAAACTAGGAAGGGAAGCCAACGGCTTTGCCACTTTTTTCATGATAAACTAAACTTGTAATATGCTTCTTCTAATCAATAATCATTGTAGCTCAACGGGTGATGCAGAAGTCCATAAAGTGCTAGGCATGTCTCTCGCGTCATGTGGATCTATATTTTCTCCTCACAACTGTACGGCCACAGAACAGTGTCTCTGCCTGGCTGAAGCTTGAAGCGTGCATTTGCACGTGAAGCTAATCAGCTAGTAGTGTAGTAAATTAAAAACTAGTGTTCACAATTATTCCTAGCTTGTTAGTAGTCTAGGCTGTGATATGCCTTTAATTTCCATCCCAATTTGCTAAGCAGATACTCCATTATTAGTATGAAGCATTATTTTTCATTGTAAATCAGTTATGCCTTGTTATGCACCTCTCTCTCTCTCTCTCTCTCTCTCTCTGTTCTTAAAATTAAGAAGCATAGAAGTGGTATAACACATGTCAAGATGGGATCCTAAGATCCTTTGCAGTAACTTCACCATTGTGTTATTACCATGATGGTACATTAAGAACGATTGAGAGTAACTTTACTCATCTCTGAAATCAATCAGGAGTTCTGGACGCCAAGTGCCAGATGATCTATTTCTGTGGTGTTACTTGTTAGGGTGTTAATACTCCTACACCCGATTCCTTCAAGATGACAAGTACGCCAGGGGCGTAGCTCAGTTGTGGCAAATGGGTGTCACAAGAGAGAGGTTTGGAGTTCAATTTGTGACAAGGACTTGAGTTGGAACCTCATTTTCTCTACACTGGTTTGTGATAAAAACTCCTTATATTCTCTTGGATGATTCTCCGACCAAGGCCCTAAGGAATGGAGTGTCATCCTTTGAAGAGGACAATTTCGTAGACCATAGTTTGTTGTGTAAATGTCACTTTTTTTAATAAAAAATACTACATAGTATTATGCTATCATTAATCATTAATATCGAGTATTCTATGTACTTTCCACTTATCTATATAATATAATAAAGCAAACATTTTGAGACCTCTTTGAAGAAATTGTTGACATGTGGCAACACTCTTTATTGGAAAATTTGACACGTGTCAACACTATAACAAATTCTACTCCCTATTCATGTATACCATTATCTAAAGTGCACAACAACACAAAGACACACACATGTATATACAACATTTATAAGCATTTGAAAGACTAGAAGGAAATCTATTCAACTTCTAATTGTTTATAAATAGACAGTTACTATCATTAATTCATTATCTTTACATTGTTAACATTATGTGAAAAATAATATCATACTCACTGTGTCACTTTTTAAGGTTTTCATTTTCCATTTTTCTTTTTTTGAATGTCGCAACTAAAGGTTCACATTCACATTTTAGGAAATAATTAGCACTCTAAAGAACAATTTAATCATCAAGTTAAATATTAAAAATAACACATCTATAACATCACAATTATCATCAATGACCCATTATATGATATTATTATCAAATTTGTTTTTCATAATATACTTGAGTTACCTTATTTAATCATTGTCTAAATAACAGTGTCACAATGCAATGATAACCTTAAGTTGGGACATAGGTAGTGTATATTTAAAAAAACATATAAATTAGTTTATGATTCAATAAAGGCAAATGTATAATTTAAAAACCTTAAATATATCAGTGAAGAGTCGTGCTTGTTTTATCTGGACCAATTTTTTTTAACCGGGCAATCTTTGTAACCCAGGTTTGGCCAGTTTAATTCTGGTCTTCTCATGCATGTATGTTTATTTTGATTTTGTCTTTTAAATTTAATTGGGGGCGAGAGAGACTATAACAACTTGAAGTGAAAACATTCTAATTGGTGTCACATTTTTATTTACAAATTCTAAATGATTATGTTCATAAAAATGTACTCAAAACTCCTATAAATTAAAACAATTCTTGCTTCGACACATACTCCAAAGTACTATTAAAATAATTTTAAAATCTACATGCTTTTTAGATACTTGGAAAGGATTAACATTTTCATACTATGATCTACGGAGTAAAAATGAATTAGGTATTAACTGTATCATCCACTTTTAAAATGATCAATACTCCTAATTATAGATAAATAGTACAGGGTATCATATAAGTATGTTGACTTTGGAAACAAAACCAATCCAGTCATTTTAACCAACTATTTAAAAAAAATAAGATAATTGATAAATTTATAATACTCAATTAAATTTAAAATACATAGAAACAGAAATATAATCAATACATAAAAATATCAAAATAGATAAATAATTTTAAAAACATTAAAAAGATAAATATAAAAAAAACAAAATACTATGAACAAAAAGGAAATGTAAAGAAATATAAAATCAAAGTGTAAATCTTTTAAAGGAAATTATATTATATAGATACCACTATATATTACTAATAATATTTTAAAGAATTTGGGCCCCTTGATTTGGTGCGCACTGGCATGTAAAATCAATTTAACCCGTTAAAAAACGTCCCTATAACGTAGACCATGGTAAAAAAACTAAAATGCATGACATGAAACTGCGACATTTATCCATTTTGTGTTTTTTCCTTTCTTTTTATTTGAATTTTACTTTTCATTTTTATATTATTGATATTAATGAGATAAATTTAACCATGACAATTCTTACCGTGCGTTGCACGGGTACACATACTAGTATTGTAATGAAGTAGAATAAATGATTTAAGATCTAATGGTTCTAAAAGTACAAAAAGTGCTATACACGGATGAGTTTTATTACGTAGTAATTTAAAGTACAATGACAAATTTATACCTCGTAGTACGGAGTAATTAAGTAATTAATTAATTGAGGTTTTCTGTCATCGCATAAATGTATATCATTACACATTTACACATAAGAATGCACCATAGAGAATCAAAACTAAAAAAATGACTTTTCTTACGTTAAACACCATTGTCATTCGATCAACACTCCTTGGAACAACAATTGTGCTTAACGTGAGAAATAAAAACTTTTCACTTTTAATTCTTTATGATGTACTCTCATGCTTAACCACTGCACTTTTGCACGATAGCTGAAACAATTCATCTCATTGCAAAATTGCCACGTCATCATCCATCAATCATCACTTTTTGAACATTTTTGGCATTTGCATAAGTCATTATATCTTATACAATTATACCCAAAGAATAGGAATGCTTTTATAGATGATCTTCGCACAATCCTTCATCTTCACCTCAAATTATGTTACATTTCTTTAAAATAAGAGCAACTTGTGGATTATTAATCTTTTATTATAAAATCTCAACCACATACTTTTGTTTTAGAATACGTACTCCGAGTCAGTTCAAAGTGGATGTTCATGTATGAGCAAGAGAGTAATAATATTAAATTAAGTTTGCATACAACTACTTGTCACCTTACTGTCCCCTTGGAGGTAAGCTGCATTGCATATGCGCTGTGACAACCATGAAAATGGCACCGTTTTGTTTGCACTAGAGCAAAAAAGAATGTGGGAAACAAAACATTCTTGGACACTTCTTTCTCATGACATTTACTTGTCGCCAAGTGTAAACCTAACAAACCTCCTCACCTTTATGTTCTCCCCGAGAGCAGCAATCGTTTGCTTCACCAAATCTTTAACCAACATGCTGTCATCCTTGATGAAAGTCTGTTCCATAAGACTAAGCTCACTGAGCCTTTTCGCTACCCTACCCTCCACAATCTTTTCTCTAATGCTCTCTGCTTTGTCCTTCAGATCTTCTCTCTCACTTTCCAATTCTTTCTCCTTCTTCACAACGCTCTCTGGAATATCTTCCACATTTACGTACTGTACCTGTGGGCAAGCCACAGCTTGCATTGCCAGATTATCTACAAGCTCCTTAAATCTTTCGCTTCTTCCCACAAAGTCAGTTTCACAATTAACTTCAATGAGAACCCCTATCCGGGAGTCGTGGATGTATGACCCTATCTTACCCTCGGCTGCTAGACGGCTGGATTTTTTGTCCGCGCTTGAAAGGCCTTTCTTCCTGAGATACTCTTGTGCCTTTTCTAGGTCTCCTCCGGTTTCAGACAGTGCTTTCTTGCAGTCCATCATGCCAGCCCCAGTTTGTTCACGTAGTTGTTTAACCAGTGCAGCAGAAACTGATTTCCTAGGAGCCCTGTGAAGAAGCTTTTAAATAATTTAGTCCATCAAAGCAAATAAACAGAAAGAGAACTTTAAGGTGTCATCACACAAGCAAACTCCCACATGTCATCCTGGGATTAGCTTTTTTTATGATTAAACTTTGTAGATCATTATGATGCAAATTAAAGATGTACGATAACTGGAGTCTGCAGCATGTGAAGCAACTAGCGAGTGTGAAAAGAAGGTTGAAATCAGCAAAAGGCTGCGAGGTCAGTAAATCAGGTTATTGATGGAGTTTTTAGATCCCAAAACTGCTATTATAAATAAAACACTGCCATTGAATGTTTGGCTTAGTACTTTGATTAAAGATTAGAATCAAAACGCTAAAATCAAGAAGCTATAAAGTGTAGATTCTTGATTACTTCCCCCCTTTTTAATTCTTTGGTGCAAAATACATGTTAAAAAAAGATATCTTTAAAAACTTAGATTATATGTATTTCAAGTACTCAACTAGAAATTGTTTTCAAACCACAGCGTTTTCAAACCAAAAAAGAAGAAATGAAATTGTTCTGGAAACAGTGTTTTCAACTTGCTAACCCTAGCACAAGGTTTTTTTACAGAGAGAACTGTCCTCCTAAACATGAAGAGGAATCAAATCTGAACATCATTAGATCATATAAAAAAATAGACTGGACCCACTTAAAACATCATGGGTGAAGAAATTCTCATGGTGTAAACATAGGACATCCTCTTCATGTGTGGGAGGCAGTTCTCTCTGTATAAAACTTTTTAATCAAACACCCACTAAAAAATGAATGGTGTTAACCAGAAGCATACATGTTCATGCACAAGGATAACTGAAGTATTATTAGCCACTTGTTGCCTAATCATATGCACATCCAAGAGTGTAGACAAAAACACTCCATTTCAAGGGTGTTAGGTAGAACTTACTCAACAGTTCCATCATCTTTGGTAACAGCAAGCTGCTCCTTGTCTGGTGGTGAGACACTCTTTACTGCAGTCTGGGCAGCCACCTCGGCAGCAAAATTTTGGTTTTTCTTTTCTAAACCTTCCCCAAGGTTGTACCTTACAAATCTCTTAACGTTTATGTTCTCTCCTATTGTCGCAACTGCCTGCTTGACCCAATCCTTGACCATTACCTTATCATTCTTAATATACGGTTGCTCCAATAAAGCAAATTCCCCGAGCCTCTTCCTAATCCTCCCATCAACAATCTTTGATCTAATTTGCTCCGGTTTTGACATCAAATCTTCCTTCTGCATCTCAATCTCTCTTTCCTTATTAGCAATATCTTCCGGAACATCTTCTGTGGATAGATATTGTACTTGAGGGCATGCAGCTATTTGCATAGCCAAGTCATCAACTAACTCCCTAAATATGTCTCCTCTGGATGCAAAGTCCGTCTCGCAATTCACCTCTATCAGGACACCTATCCTACTGTCGTGAATGTAAGAACCAATTCTTCCTTCAGCAGTGGTCCTACTCGCTTTTTTATCTGCACTAACCAACCCTTTCTTTCTAAGATACTCCACTGCTTTAACAATGTTGCCATCTGTTGCAGAAAGAGCGTTCTTGCAGTCCATCATTCCAGCTATTGTCTCTGCACGCAACTGCTTCACAAGTGCCGGAGATATAGCAGCTGTACACCGTGGGATGGTTTTAGCATAGAACTCAAATACAACATTGGAGAGCACAAAAAGTGGGGGTAATCTGGTATATATTGACTCATATTAAGTACCTTAAGTCCTTAAATCAAATTCTTACTTTCCTTTCTCATAGGTCAAGTGAAACAAAAATTATTCATCAAGTCTTCATTCCTTATTTAGTAAAATATGAGTTGCTACTTGCTACTACGTACTTTACTACCTTCACTTAATATCCCAACTTACCATCATTCATTACCTTTAACCACTTATCACAAGGTAAAACTTCGAATCCAAATGAAAAAAATTGACTCATTAAAATCCTTTAACAATGGACGGAGTAAGTAATAGGAGTAATAATTAGCAATAATCAATATGATCCTAATCTTTCTTCTGCCCCATCCATTATTTAAATGACTAAATGAGTGTACTTCTTTTAATGTTTCCTCAATTCTTTTGCTTCATCCAATGTTCTTAGCCCCTAATTTTATACGTAGTATTCTTATTCTAGATGTACTGGTAAAAAATAAAAAATGGGGAAAACTATCAAATAAGCCCCCGTACTATACCGAAAAAGTCGATTAGGCCCTCGTGCTTTACAAACACTCAATTAAGTCCTCGAACTATTAAAAAACGTTCAATTGAGCCCTTTCGGTCGGTAAGTAACCGGTTTCCCGGTTAAATATAACCCGTTTCCCGGCAGCCGTCGTTGCTGGGGTTCAAGCACATCGTCGCTGTCGCCACCGTTTAACCGGGAAACCGGTTACTTACCGACCGAAAGGGCTTAATTGAACATTTTTTAATAGTTCGAGGACTTAATAGAGTGTTTGTAAAGTACGGGGGCCTAATCGACTTTTTCGGCATAGTACGGGGGCTTATTTGATAGTTTTCCCTAAAAAATGTGTACAAATAGATCCAGATGGCAATTTATAAAAGGGTATTTTGTGAAAGTTAAAAAAGTCATTAATGTTTAAAAAAGATAAACTGGGCATAATTTTGGGGAAAACTACAAACAATTGGGGCAGATGCCAGCACCCATGAAGATAGAAGCTGTGATTCTATGAAAGAGTGGTTCTTGTGGGTTATAGATGCCATCACCCATGAAGAGACAGATTAACATGTGAATACCTTATATATAGTGCAATAGAATTCAAAGTAATGGATAGTATGAACTACGAAGAGCTACAAAATTAAGGGTCTGTATCAATTTGGGAGATAGGATAGGGAAACTAGAAATCCTCCCACCACTGAACTTCTACAGATCATAAACTACAGAACTTCTATAAAATAAAGCAATCAAGTAGATCCAAACTTTCTGAAACGTAACCGGCCTAACATCAAATTAGGAATACTGCACACATACTAAAGCATTGTTTTTCCCTATGAAGTATTGTTGTCATGTTTCCATTGTTTGCTCATAATAAATTTCATGTTTATTCTCAAAAGTATTCATTTACACGGCATTTTTAAATGAAGGTAGTCTGGTAGAATAGGAACCATTAATCTCCTTTTCAAGAATACTGACTACTTTCTTTGATATAAGTATGTGGTCAACTGTTCCATATAATTGAGACCAAAAAGGGGCATTACATATGCCTCAATTTGAGAAATCATGTGACCAATTTATCACACATTTCAGCTTTTCAATAATTGAGAAAGCAACAACTCTCACCATCCCAAAGTATTAAGGGCAGTAAACCACTGTGCTTTTAGCACGGGTTCTGAAAAATAGAAGTAAAATCATGGGTCCACTTACCAAATCATCCCTCAAATGGAACCAATTTCGTTGACTGTCAAATACTCAAATCATTTCAAAAAAGAGAGAAAACGGTAAATTAGGAAGGGTAATAAGTTAGTGTTTTCAAATCAAGAAAGTGGACATTATTTGGGACACACTAGAAAAGAAAGTGAAATAGAGCCATGGATGGAGTATTATATAAAAGAATAAGACAAAGTGGTAACCAACCCTCAGTCATGTTTTTTCTGTTTTGTGAAACTATGTTCTGTTCACTTATGCTCACAGTACTGCTGTTTTCATGGAAATTACTGCCACTTGGTTCCTCTTCACCTTGAGTGTGAAGGAGCACCTTGGACACAGCCTTTTGAGTTTGGGCTTCACCCTTCGCATTATGGACTTCCTCATTACGCAATACTTCTTCTGAACTTTCAGCTGAAAAGCTTTTGTCCATTATTTGCTGAGACATTTCAGGTTCAGCAGTGCTTTCTGATGCATTAAGCGCAGATGGCTCTTCACTGAGCCAGCTCATTGTAGTTTTAGGAAATGACTTATCATCAGTAGCAGAAGGCTCTTCACTTGGATCATCTGTGGTGGTTGTGCTTGCTCTAGCCTCCTCAAGTGTTTCAGAAGATGCATCCACTTCTTCAATTATTATGCTTTGACTTGCACCATTCACCTCTTCATGAATAAGGTTGATATTCACATCATTCTCCTCTTCCATAGATGCCACTATTTCTTCATCTTTGGCAGAAATTTTAGGCAATTTTTCATCTTTAACTGCAGAAGGTTCTTCATTTTGTTGGTCTCGGGTGGTTGTGCTATCTTTAGCATCCAATGCTTCAGAAGTCCCATACAAGCTACCACCTACCATACTAGCACCACTTTCTGCTTTGTTATGATCTTTTTCTGACATCTCAGCTAGCATTTCCTCTTCCCTCTGGTCTAGGAATTTAGAAATGTCCTCATTTTTGCGGAAGGCTAATGCAAAGGGATTGGTTGCTGTGTGGATAACACCTTGGAGCTTTTCATCAAACTCTCCGGCTGCTTCTTTCTTTGTTGTCAAGGTCACTTGTGCTCTAGTGATGCGCAAAACACGGACATTAACTTTCTGACCCACTTCTAGTGAAGAGCCACCCATGATGTCCCCAAACCCTCCATCATCCAACTCTGATTTTGGCAGGAAACCCTCTTCTCCTTCAGGAAGAGATATGAATGCACCAGACCTTGTTAGATTCTTCACTGTTCCTTCAAGATCCTGCGCCAACACAAATTTTGACGTCTTCTTGACCTCCTCTCTTCTTTGGTTGCTCGTTTGGGGAGCCCTCTTTGGTGTTCTGGATTTATCATTTTTTACAGGAGGATTTTTTGGCTGATTTGGCTTACTGGGCGGTCTGGGCCCATCATTTTCACGCATGGTAAGAGATATCCTTCCTGATTCCATATCCACGTCAACTAATCTCACTTTTACTTCTTGACCAACAGAAACAAAACTTCCCACATCTTTCACGAAAGTGTTACTCAAGTTTGATACGTGAACGAGTCCATCTGTGAAAGCTCCAATATCAACAAAAGCTCCAAATGGTTGTACAGATCTGACCTTTCCAGTTAAAATTGCACCTGGAGTCAGATCTTCGTTTTTAACAGGAGGCATTTCACTCTTTCTGGAAAATTTTGAACGTTTTGATGGAGCAAGGGTAGGACTAGAATTTGACTTGATAGTGGATTCTTTCCTCTGTGTTCCAATATCAGTAGAAGTTTCTGCAGCTTCCATATAGATATTACCTACTGTGGGTGACTGTGCCTCTTCTACTATTACATCAGTCTTAGCTGATGACACAATGGAGTTTGATTTAGGGTTTGCATCAACAGAAAGTCCAAAATGGGGAAACAGTCTATGAGATGCTGAGAAGGTTATGGCATATCTTTGGGCAAATAGTGTTTGACTGCCAGATTTCTGAAAATTGCTGCACCTTGTAAGAAGATAGTTCTTCCTACCAATGAAGATATTTCCTGGACTTAGTGAAGTACAGTTAATTGTTGTGGGAATTGCAGGAGCCATGGTGAATAGAGGGATACACCAATTACAGTAGTTTCACGGGCTATTAAAATTTTTGCACCATCCGCCCACCTGTAACATGCATGCAAATAATTTGCTCTTTTTCTGTGCTCCTCGTGAAGAAATGCTTAGCAGATGTCAGTAAACCAACCTAATGATAGGACACAATAAAAGTTAAATGATAAGCACGGATATTGGTGATTTCTTGTCACTTTCATTTGTCACTTTCAAATCGAAGAAAAATGAACAGTTGGGGAATTGGGCCATTCTTTTCAACGTTACAATCGAAATGTCACAAAATAAAAAAAAGTACTCTAAATCCAAAACTAATGACCATCTGAAATACTCCCTCCTTCGAGTAATAAACTTCTCAATTGCTTATTGCTTTTGGGACGAGAGTTAAGATAGTGAAATTGCATGGTCGAAATTCATTTATGAAAAAGAGAAACAATATCAACCACACAACTATTTCCTTAATAGAAACTGAGAAATTTTGACACAAACCAAAAAGGAAAATAGTAAATATATTTCGGGATATAGGAAGCACTTGTTTATCTATATTCAAATACATCAGACATCCAGTGTACCTTTGTGTTTCCCTAATTTCATTTCTTTTTTGAAATCTTGGTGTACACGACCATGAAAATTTCACACTTTCATGCACTAAAGAGCAATGCAAGTCACTACTAGTAATGAGAAGTCATTTTACATGGGAATTAAATTATTTCATTACTGCCTCAGTTGCACTCAAATCCTACATGCTTAGCAATGGTGTTATTTCAGTTCCATGAAACTTCAATTACCAACTTCTTCACCAGCAACCAACAAAACATATTGTAAGTGGTAAATTTCAGGATTGCTTACATAATCGGGAATGATTGATGCTGAATTTCATGAAGTGAGATCAAATTTTAATTGCTAAAGAAAACATTTACTCTTGCTCCTCTAATCCCTCTATACATTAACGAAAATGTAGATAACTACCAGATTATTTCCACACACACATAGGAAAATGAACAGCAGAGTGAGTGGATAATCTTTAAGCACAGATCAAGTGATGGTATGCTAACATCTGTCGCATTATAAACTTCATTTTACAATTTAGGATTTTGAGGATAAAGTGGATTACTCCCTAATAGGATAGTAACACATAAATTAGTGTTAGCAACTACAATTTACATATTCAGAAGCAATATTGAAAGTACTAATGAATCGCAAGGGCCGGGTTTGAACTACTCAAGCATCTTAAATGGTAACATATTTGGTCGGAAACCGATGACGTGAAATAAATTTTCCGCCTAAAGTCACCGGTTTCGGAAAATGAAAAGGGGAAGAAGGTCATCTTTTCCGAATAGGAGCTAGCAGCAGTAGATGAAATGAAAGGAGTTAACATACCTTTATGCGACAGAGACAAGATGGAAATTTTGAGCAACCTTATCCCCCTTTGTTCCTTACAAGTTTGAGTGTTCGTAGGTGTGGTGATGAAGAGGGAAACAAATGGCGGGCCTTCAAATACCTTATCCTCCGCTTATCCTTTTACTTCCCTTTTTTCTTTGTTTGTTTTCTACAGTAATCAAACAACCAAGTATTGGAATTGAAATGTATTTAACTATTTAATTTAATTAACATAGAAAAGTATTATCTTCATCGAACTAACATTGTGAGATGAAAAGTATTAACAAAAATGAGTTTATGCGGTTAATATTGATAAAATAAAATAAAATAAGAATGATTTTGAATCACACAAACTTTACCCAACATTGTATAAGACAATCTAATGAGAAGTTTACTTCATGGATTACTAAACGGTGCTTATTAAGACTCGCGTTAATAAGCAACGCATAAAATAAGCAGTGTTGTAAGCTCATGTTCACTTTAAAGGATTTAAAACACCGTTTAACATTAAAATGTTCAAAATAACTCTCTACACACACACACACACACACATATATATATATATATATATATAGACACACAAACATTCATGAACACAAGTATATACTCCGTAACATAATATGTGGGGTCATCTCGTACGTGTACCCATACCCCTGAACCCACCCCTATACCACACCCTTGACCCATACCTCTACCCTTACCACGACCTTACCCTCAACCTCTACTCCTATATAACCCTCATACCCCCTAACACCTACCCTAATTGTAGGGGTAGAGTCGAGGTAAGGGCAGGTGGTATGGGGTAAAAGGGTAGGGTCGGGGTAGGGTAGGGTATGATGGGTGGGGTCAGGGTGCGGTTGAGGTAGGGTAAGGTGGTAGGGGTAAAGGGGTAGGGTCGGGGTAGGGTAAGAGGTTACGGGTGGGGTGGATAAGGGTGGGGTAGGGTAAGGGGGGCTTGTGGTAGGGGTAAAGGGGTAGGGTCGGGGTAGGGTAAAGGGGTTGGGTGGGGGTGAGGTTGGGGGCATGTGGTAGGGGTAAAGGGGTAGGGTCAGGGTAGGGTAAAGTGGTACGAGGGTGGAGTGGGGTTGAGGTAGGGGTATGTGGTAAGGATAAAGGGGTAGGGTCGGGGTGGGGCCGAGGTGGGGCATGTGGTAGGGGTAAATGGGTAAGGTCAAGGTAAGGTAAAGGGGGGTGGGGTGGTAGTATATGGGTAAGGTGGGGGTGGGGTCGGGGTAGGGGTAGGGTAGGGGGTTACGAGCGGGTGGGTAGGGGGGAAGCAGGTAGGGGATAACAATAGGGTAAGAGTAAATTCGGAAACTGAAAAAGCTTAAAGTGCTGCTTAATTAATACATGGGGGTGGTATGCTTTGTAAGCGACACTTTAAACATCTCTTTTGGTTAATAAGCAGCTTGCATGTTTACTTCGCATGTCTTACTAACCTAACTGTGACTTTAGCAGTGATGTAAATACCTCCTTAGTGTAATAATCTTAACGGGACGGAGGGAGTAATACGTAGTAAGGGTTATGAATAATGTAGAAAAATTAGAAAAGAAAATGGAAAAGTACAAAGAAAAAGATAATGATAATTGATTACTTTTAAAGAGAGTTTATGACAACGGTAAAGTGTTGCAAAGATTAAAATACATCCCAAAAAGAAATTTAAAAGTAGCAAATATTTCAATATGGCCGGGGGAGCATTACAATTTAAAATATTTCTCATCCCGTATGGTCTGAATTGCTCTGGTATGATAGATGTTTGTTTTATGTGTGTTTTACAATTGTCTAAGTCTCGCTTGACCTGACCACATTAGGTATGAGACTGAAATCAATTCAATTAAAAACACCCTTTAAACTGCTTTAATTTAGAATGATTTCTAGTCTCACACTAGATTTAAATAGATTAAATTAGATTTAAATAATATTGAAGCACATATATAGAGTTTGGAAAATGGCGTTTCGGCCAAAAATATTGGTTTGACTCTTTTGAGTGTTTTTAATAAGTGAACACGTTGTTTGGTAAATATTATTTCGTCCATAGCATTTTTGGACGATACCACTGAAGTCAGTGAAGTGGAAATGCTAGAAATAGCAACGTTTTGGGTTAGGGTTTTGAAATAGATCATTTCCTACTAATTGCTACGGTCAAACAACTAAATTATTAAACATCTTTTTACAACCCTCCAACTTGTTACACTAATCAAACCTGCTAACTGAATCTGTTATTAACCGACCGACATAATTTGCTATACGCTAATTGCTAAATGTCAAACACATTCGACCTTAATATTTCTTTTTTCATAATGACAAGAGTGACTTAACCAAGTTCAAGTTCACGGCATTAAACAACACCAATCCAGTTATTCACATTAGATAACTTGCACGAGATGCCACAAGTAACACCAGCAAATAAACACTGGTTTAAACCTCTTGTGCTCTCGGTGTTTGGATTCTGGCCTTGAAAAGTAGAATCGAAAATACTTAGAAAAAAATATGCTCAACATTTTTATTATTTACGCAATAATCTGCATCACTGCATGTAGTTGCTCCTGCACAGATTGATGTGGCATAATAATGTAATACCCCCTCCGTCCCGTATAGATTGTTCCATTTTACCTTTTTGATTCATCCCACTAAGATTATCTCATACCAAATTTGGTAAAGTTTGTGTGGCTCTAAATCATTCTTACTTTATTCTTACTTTATCAATTCAATATGAACCTCATAAACCATTTTTTACTGGTTTGCGTGCCACTCCCTCTTATCCCATTGTTAGTGGGACTAAGCCATTTGTTTTACCATTGGGCGTAGCTCAACTGGTAGCGAGGGAGTGCCACAAGGGTTAGGTCTCGGGTTCGAATCCCGACAACTGCGATGAGAGGTTACTATGCTAAAAATGCATAGGGCCTCTGCAAGTATCGGGGATGGAGCCTCACTCTCTATCTGTCAGATTGTTATTATAGTCCAATTTACACCATCCCATCATGTCGTCCAGTCGGTGTTGGGGGCCCTCAGGGATGGGGTGTCATCCTTTTTTTATTGTTTAAATAACCTTTATTGTTTCAAGTTTTAGTACTACTAGACTTTCCCCTATATGGATTATTATTTATTATATATATATGAGATACTCAGAGCTACAAGTATGGTAAGCCTTATCATTATTCTCAGCCATGGGCACATGTTTTGCTGCCCCTCCCCTAAAACCAGCTCTTGGCATGTTTTGATCTTTTGAATAAATAGAACACAATTACAAATTGACTTGAATAATCATATTTTACTTTGTAATAAACACTGTTCTAAAAGGCGTTAGGCGCTAGTCGGGCGCCAGCCCAGCGCCTAGGCGGCTAGGCTGGCGCCTAGTCGAGGACTAGTCGGAGACATAGAAATTGTATTTTTATTTATATTTTTGCATAAATATGATTAGTAATATTGTATTCTTGTGTGTATAAAATACATATATACACATACATTAATGAACATGAATGATGGAATTATCCCATTTAATCATACGTAGTATATGATAACTAATCACTTAACATCATTATGTTATAAATATAAATAATAATAAATTTTAGGTATATATACAAACATATACGTGGTATAGTCTTTATCTTAATTTACAACTTCATTTCTTTATATCTGGGTATAAAGTTAAAGTATTTATATCACTTAGAAAATTAAAATTATAAAGTAAAGTAATGTTCTGTGAAACTAGATGACCTAGGTGGCCGATTAGGCGCTCAGCTGGGCGGGCAACTAGGCGGCATAGGAGGCCGACTAATTCACCTAGACGGCAAATCAATTAGTCGGAGCGCCTAGGCGAAAATCGGGGCGCCTGACCACCGCCTAGCGCCTAGGCGGGGACTAGTCGGACGCCTAGAACGATTTTTAGAATAGAGGGACTAATAAACTATATACACTACAATTGTGACATTTTACCGTTTGTTTGAGAAAAATAAAATAAAATAAAGATACAGTGCAAATAAAATTGTTTAGATAGTTCATTTACAAGTGTCATGAATCTCCTACCTTTTCGACGCTCAAATGTCTCTTTTACATCTCCTATTTTTATAACAATCATTTAAGAGAAGGCATGATGGTCGTTATGCCCGCCCATTGGAGAAGTCTTCTTCTTTTGTCAATGGCTTCTCCAATGGCACTATCAATAATATCATTGAAATCCCTTATTATTTTTCTTCTTCCTATGTCATTTGTTTGCACCGCCTCATCAAAACCACCTTTTGCAAAACCTATTCCTGACAAGAATGTCGTTTTAAAATTTGATACCGATTTTTTCCAGAATAATGTTGAGGGTCCTGATGCAATCCAGAAACCGGATTTTGATATGGATTACTCTGCGTCATATTGGGAAGTCGTAAAAGAGTTTGTGGGTGTTTCGGCCATGCACATGCAGCTTATGATAAATAATAAGGTTGTTTTTTATGATACCACAAATCTTGGTCCTTCCGCGCTCAGGCACAATCCGGAATGGTGCAGAAAACTCCCTAATGGTCGTACTGATTGTTGGGCTCATGGTATTACCTTTGATCCTAATAGTGGTGATGTTAGGACGCTCAAGGTTTGGAACTTTTTAACTTTTTACATTATATTTGAATTTTCTCATATACAAGATCATGATTTAATAATGATAAATATTTGATTGATGAAAATGTTTTTTTTAAATACTCAAGTTATTGAGAAAAAATAAAACTTAGATTTTCATAATGCAATTACACAAAAAAAAAAATAGAAATATGTCACATATGAAAATGTACTAACAGCAGTCCGACCACTTATCGACCACCGTCATGGTGATTCTTAATCAATCAAAGCCATTCCTAATCTTTGTTTTTATATAATTTGATTTTCCTATCCATACAATGATTCTATAGATTGAAAATGACTTAAGTTGAATGAATTGCATGGATAGTGAATGAAAACTTTATTTTGAGATACAAATAATATTTATAGGGCACTAACAACGTAAAATACTCAAACTTTCTCAATGCTCATCTTGACTATCATTATTATGTACAACAGTGCATTATTTCAAAGTATAATTATTTTTTAAATAAGTATTAACAATTATTGGTGAAATTTACTTTTTATTATAATATTATACGTAGTATTATAATATAATTAATGAGAAATTAACTTTAATAGTTAATAAATTT